GGAATGAAAGAATGAAGCGATAACAACAGCGGACATCAGCTCTACTCACCGGATTGAAGCCGCAGCCTTCATTCTGCCGCTCTCTCTGAGGGAGAGATAGGACTCTGGGAGTGTGTGTGTGTTCAGTGTCAGTGGTCGTCACCGCAAGAAGAGGAGAGTGGAGAGGAGGGAGATCCGCCGAGATGAGATAAGCCCGAGCGTGAGGCTCAAGAGCCGGGTCTACTGTAAGCGATAGTGATGTGTCGTTCGCTAGTGATTCGTTCAAAATGAACGAATCTTTCATATGACCCGTGACTCCCGAGTCATATGAAAGATTTGTGACTCGTGACTTCCGAGTCATATTAAATATTTGTTCATATTGAACTCAAGAATAACTCACTGCGAACTAATCACTCTCTGCGAACTAATCACTCACTGCGAACAAATCATTCGGGGAGGCCATGGAGGAGGACTACCGTTCAGCCTCGAAAAATTCTGGCAAACCATCCAGTGCCTGAGGAAGGGGAAGCAGTATCCCACCACTGCTGTTCACAGCGTGGAGGGGGATCTGGAGGAGGGGCTGTTGACCTCAACTAAGCATGTCGTCGGGATGTGGAAGGAATATTTCGAGGATCCCCTCAATCCCATTGACACGCCTTCCGCGGAGGGAGCTAAGACTCAAAAATACGCCGGGGGTGGATGAGATGAATGAATGAATAATTCTTCAAAGACCACACTGCAGCCAGGTGGAATTTGTTTTCAGTACAAACAGACGTAACGTATAACATATAGCATAAGACTGGGGGCACAGATTGAGACATTAGGGATATGCAAACTCACAGCTCCGACATCAAGCAATTCTCAATTCGTGATCTATGATTATCTGCTGCAGTTCAGAAGTTGTATGGCAGCGGGGATAAAGCTGTTTTTAAAACTTGTTGTTCTGGTGGCAATTGTCCTGTAGCGCCTTCCGGAGGGCAGAAGCTGAAATGTATAGTGTGCAGGGTGAGTGGGGTCCGAGATGATTGTGGGCTCTACATACAGTTCTTTTGTGGTGTAGTGACTCCAGGGAAGGGAGGGGGGAGTCAATGATTTTTGATGCTCTGTTGATTATTGAGGTGGAAGAGTTTTGTGGATGTGATCTGCATTTGTTTTCCATTTGAGGTCGTTGCTGATGTGAGTGCCGAGGATTTTGACAGAGTCAGTGATGGAGATGGGTTCACCTTGGATGTACACAGGAGTTTTGAGAGATGGCTGGTGTGAAATAAATATTATCAGCAATATGACTTTAGGAAAATGACACAGACAGTTCGTTGGTCAAGACAAATATATCACAAACAGAAATATTAGTCACATTTACATGCTGATTTTTGGGTTCAATTCGTTCTCCTTATTCTTCTGCATTTACAGTATATATGTTGATGAATCCATGGTGTGTTTTGAGTTGGTTAGTGTAGATAGAGAAGAGCCAGGGAGAAAGAAAGCAACCTTGTGGAGTGCCTGTACTGAGGGACAGAGGGGAGGATATGATGTTGTTGATTTTCACCCTCTGTTGCCTGTTATGGAGGAAGCTGAGGATCCAGTGGCAGATGCATGGGTTAATTTCCATGTTCAGTAGTGTGTCGAGCAGTATGGCTGGTTTTATGGTGTTGAAGGCAGAGCTGAAATCCATGAATAGTATGCGTGTGTATGTGTTGGCAGACTCCAGGTGGTTCAGAGTGTGGTGGATTTCCAGGTTTACGGTGTCCTCGACAGATGGATTAGCTTTGTACGCAAATTGATGAGGGTCCTTGAGGGGGGAGGTGACAGGTTTTAGATGTTTGAGTATGATGTGCTCGAATGACTTCATCGCTGCTGATGTCAGGGCAATGGGTCTGTAGTCGTTGAGGCAGGAGATGGTGTTGGTTTTGGGAAGTGGGATGATGATGGACTCTTTAAAACACTTTGGTACTAAGCTTTGGCGGAGTGAGTTGTTAAGGATGTTGGTGAAGACCCCAGTCAATTCTCCAGCACAGTTGTGGAGGACAGCAGGGATAACGTTGTCAGGGCCAGCGGCTTTGTTCTTCTTCAATCCGCTGAAGGTGCTCCTTACCTCTTCCTCCTGGATGTTGAAAGGAGGGGGAGGGAGGGGATTCGGGGGAGGTGGTGGTGGAGTTGGTGCCTGCTCAAATCCGAAGTTTTTCAATTGCCTCCGAGGACCAACACCACATTGGCCTGGCTGGTGTTTTGGAGGACTTTTCATACAGACTTTTTGTCTGTATTATGGGATTAGCAGCAGCATTGCATGGTCAGACTTGCCCAGCAGAGCTCTTGGGAAAGCATGGTAAGCCTCTTTGATGGTGGTGTAGCAGTGGTCCAGCGTGTTGCTTCCTCTGCTTGGGCAGGTGACCTGCTGATGGTAGCGCGGGAGCTCAGATGAGAGATTGGTTTGGTTGAAGTCCCCTATGACAATGACTGCTGCGTCCAGGTGTTTACTTTCCACCGAGGATATGTGGTTGGCCAGCTCAGCTGTGATGCTAGTAGTGTTAGCCTCAGGTGAGATGTAAACACAGACGATGATGACTGATGCAAATTCCCTTGGGAGAGATGATGGTCTGCATTTGACTGTAAGGTATTCCAGGTGGGGGGAACATTCATGTGAGAGTTCTCACACCAGCGTTCATTGATCATTATGCAGACACCACCACCTTTTGACTTGTGCAATAGTTCGGGTGATCTATCAGCACAGTGTAGCGTGAAACCTGGAGGAGTTATTGCTTGACCGGGAACTGAATGATCAAGCCAGGTCTCTGTCAGGCAGATGGCAGAGCAGTCGCTGTAGTCCTTGTTGGATTGAATCATGAGTTGTAGTTCATCCATTTTGTGACGGAGGGATCTGACATTGGATAGCAGGAGGGCTGGGAGCGGTGGTCGGTACGGGCGTCTCCTGAACCTGGCAAAGGTGCCTGAGCGTCGGCCTTGCCTGGGCGGCCGCAGTGGTGTTGGGCGCCTTGTGATGTTAAAATCCCGGATTTTATCATCCAGTTGAGATGACAGTGGGACAAAGTCAGAGGTGAGATGTAGGAGTCTGGCGCGGATGTAACGGATAACACAAGACACTTTGCAGACAAATAACGAGGACATAAGACAGACTGACAGGAACACTGCTTGCATCGTGGCGAGCCTCGCGGCCGCCATGTTCCTCTCTTACAAGATCCTTCACTGTGAACTAATCTTTCACTACGATCTAATTACTCTGCAAACGAATCACTCTCTGTGAACTTATCTTTCGCTGTGAACTAATCTTTTGCCGTGAACTAATCTTTCGCTATGAACGAATCACTCTCTGTGAACTAATCATTCGCTTCGTTCTCGCAGATTCGTTTCATTTGTCACGTGAAAAAGCTCGGGTCTTTTTGCTCTCATTCATCTTCACATTGTTGTGTGTTTATATTTCTTAGCTTCTCGCATGGTTTTAATTGCTTATGGCATTTTGTGTACTTTGTAGACTTTGTCAGCAGAATCAAACCATGTTGCCTTCAGTATTTAGTGTCGGAGAACCGCAGCCTTCTTTCCAACGCCCACAATAGGGCTAAAGCGCCACCTGCTGTAAAACGAATGAAATGAGTAGTTCAAGACTCGTTCATTTTACTGTTCGAGAGTCAAAAATTCGAATCAATAAAAAGAGTCGGTCTTCCCATCACTAGTGAGTGAGTGTCCGCTCTCCGTCAGTGCCTTAGTGGATCTGAATTAGTGATGTGTCGTTCGCGAGTGATTCGTTCAAAATGACTCGTGACTCCCGAGTCATATGAAATTTTTGTTCATATTGAACTCACGAATCACTCATAAATCACACTCTGCGAACTAATAACTCACTGCGAACAAATCACTCTCCGAACTTATCTTTCACTGTAAACTAATCTTTCACTACGAACTAATGTTTCACTGTGAACTAATCTTTCACTACGAACGAATTACTCTCTGCATACTAATCTTTCACTGTGACCTAGTCTTTCGCCGTGAACTTATCTTTCGCTTCGTTCTCGCAGATTCGTTTCATTTCTCTTTTTCTGTCATTCATTTTCGCATTGTGGTGTGTTTTTATTTCTTAGCTTTTCGCATGGTTTTAATCGTTTATGGCATTTTGTGTACATTGTAGACTTTGTCAGCGAAAGCAAATCATGTTTCCTTCAGTATTTAGTGTCGGAGAACCGCAGCCTTCTTTACAACGCCCACGATAGGGCTTAAGCGCCACCTACTGAAAAACTAACGAAATGATTAGTTCAAGATTCGTTCACGACTCGTTCATTTTACTGCTCAAGAGTCAAAGATTCGAATCAAATAGAGTCGGTCTTCCATCACTAGATCTGAAGAAAAGGGCGGAGAGCAGTGTCGTGTCTTCTATTCTTTAGAAGATAATGAAGAGCGTGTAACCACTGTGTCTTGAACGGCACTTTATTGAACTACTCGCGCTGAACCCTCACCCCGTGTCACATGACTTCACAACACAATCCTATTGGTCCATCAGATACACCACATCTCCTTTTTTCCCCAAGAACATGTGTAACATTTTCTGCAAGTCTATCTAAACCTGTAAAATGAAAACAAGGTTAAACACATCTCCTTTTTTTTCTCTTTTGCCTTCTTGCACAACATTTCCAACCTTGACTTATCTCTAATAAATTCTCTTACACTTCTAAAACATTTATCAACAACATTCTCAACTCAGAATGAACATTTTCCT